GAGAAGGACATCATGCTTGGTGGAGGAGACAGTGAAAAAGAGGAAGAGCCTGAATGAGAAGGATTGACACAGTGGCTGCAACAATGGGCTCAAGCATAACAACAATTGTGAGGATGGTGTAGGACCGGGCAGTGTTGCGTTCTGTTGTACATAGGGTCGCTATGAGTCAGAACTGTCTTGACAGCACCTAACAGCAACAACATTCCACCCTTAAGTATATACCCAAAAGACTTGAAAGCAGTGACACGAACAAACACATGCACACCAAAGTTCATTGCAGCACTATTCACAATAGCCAAAAGGTGTAAACAACCAAACTGTCCATCAATAGATGAATATATACATTCATAAATGAGCTTTATACAAGCAATGGAATATTACTCAGCCATAAAGAGAAATGAGAAAAAAATCCATTGCCATCCAACTGAATTCTGACTCATAGAGACCCTACAGCATAGGGTAGAACTACCCCACAGGGTTTCCAAGACTGTAAATCTTTATGGAAGCATACCACCACATCTTTCTCCTGTGGAACGACTGGTGGTTTTGAACTGCCAACCTTTAAGCCAGCAACCGAGGGCTTAACCACTGCGTCACCAGGGCTCCTTAAGCAAATACATAAACCAAAAAACCAAACTTGTTGTTGTGATGTCGATTCCAACTCTTAGCGACTCTATAGGGCAGAGTAGAACTGCCCCGTATGGTTTCCAAGGAGCAGCTGGTGGATTTGAACTGCCGACCTTTTGGTTAACAGTTGTAGCTCTTAACCACTGCACCACCAGGGCCCCAAGCAAATGTAATAGAAACTAAAAATTATTAGCGGTTACCAGGGGAGGGGAAAAGGAGGAATTTTTGCTTAGGGGGCATTGAGTTTATGTGAATGGTGATAGAATAATTTGGGAAAGGATAGGGAGAATTACTGTACAACTTGAAGAATGTAATCAATGTCACTGAATTGTACATGTAGAAATTATTGAATTGGTGTATGTTTTGCTGTGTATATTTTTATCACAATATATATTTTTAAAATCTAGTTGTCACTACCTTTGCTCGACCCCCATCACTCCCAGAATGAAGACCAATTTGGCATTCAATATACTTTCTGGGTTGCTCCTCCAGCTCCCCCCAGGACCCTCATACTCATGTCTCCACTGAACTCAGCATCTCTCTTGAAACATGATCTTTCTCTCAAGACCTACCATCCTCCCAGATACCAAGCCAGACCCCTCACAACCCACTGATCCCCAAGCCCCTTTGCGTCTCTCTGCATCATCCTCTTCTCTCTATCACCCATGTCCCTGGCCCCAGCTTGCCCTTGGTCCTCTCCCACCTGGAGCATCACTCCAGATTCTTCCCCTCTTCTGTATCTCTCAGTTAACCCCAGAGGGGTCTTCCTGCATTCAGAGCTGACCCTGCCCCTTGCCCCCTCACAACCCTGTCCTGGCTCCCCATGGCCCTCTGCCCAAAGCCCCAGCCCCTCAGGCTGGGGTTTGAGGACCTTCAGTATTTATAGCAGCACTGACCAATAAACATATAACGCAGGCCACACATGTACTTTTTAAATTTTCTAGCAGCCACAGTAAGGAGCCCTGGTCGTGCAAATGGTTAAGCACTTGGCTGCTAACTGAAAGATTGGTGGTTTGAACCTGTAAAAACAGTGTAAGAGGGAGTGTCTGACCTCCTCTAACTTCACAAGGGGCAAGGAGAATCAAGAGCAACATCCCAAGGCTGATTCCTGTGAGGCGGAGGTCAGTCATGCCTCCTCCCTCTTCATCTTTACCAATTCTGACACCAACCGTCCCTCCCACAGCACTCTCTCTTCTTTGCTGGGTTGGGTAATTCATTGCAATGGCCACACAGAATTTACAGACAGTACTTAACGATTATGGGGTTTATTAGGGAAGTAACAGTTACAAGTCAGGTTCAGTAATGCTCAGGATACAGTTCTTCCATCAGGACAGCCTCTTCCAGCCATGCTTGAAGGCATGCCTCTCTCTGGCCTCAGGCCTCTGCCCTGCTCAGGCAAGTGTTACAAAGCTCTTTTAGCTCTGCCTGTAAGTGCCTAGAGGTACCCCACCCTGCCCGAAGGTGCTCAGCTCTAGCTCCCTGGGTCGGGAAGCCTAACACGCTGTCTCTTGCCAATCTCTCCTGCTGCCGTTTCTCCGTCACTGCTTCTTACCACTGCTTCTTGCTGTCTTCAGTGTTACATCTCTCTCTGTCTCGGATTTTCTCAGCGCAGGGATCCCAGGTCCGAAGGACACACTCTCTGCTTCTGGCTGTTCTTCCTTGGTGGTGGTGGGATTCTCTGTCTGCTCTGGAGTTGACTCTGTTTTAACGAAAAACTGACCAATGTCCTTGGTGGGCCACAATTGCCTTATTTGCACAGTCCCACTCAATCACCTGGGTGGAAGTTACGAGATTATGGCGGGAAAGGCCACACAAAAGCAATCTATCTCACCGCAGAATACAACCAGCAGCTCTGTAGGAGAAAGACCTGGTGAACTGCTTCTGTAACGATTACAGCCTAGAAAACCCAATGGGGTAGTTCTATTCCGTCACATGGGATTGCTATGAGTTGAAAATGACAGCACCTAACAACAGCAACCAAAATTATGGAAAGTAAAAAGGAAATCCCAAAAGTATGGCCCCCAGACACTCTTTTAATTCAGTACTGAAGTCACTCCTGAGGTTCACCCTTCAGCCAAAGATTAGATAGTTCCATAAAACAAAACCATACTAAATGGTCACACCAGCCCAGGGGTAAGTATGAGAAGGCAGCACCATAGTTCAAAGGCATCAATTCTTCTTCAGTCTTTCTTATTCATTGTCCAGCTTTCGCATGCATATGAGGCGATTGAAAACACCATGGCTTGGGTCAGGTGCATCTCAGTCCTTAAAGTGACATCTTTTTAATACATTGAAGAGGTCTTTTGCAGCACATTTGCCCAATACAATGCATCATTTGATTTCTTGACTGCTACATTAATTTATTTAATCTGCCTAACAGCCCAATGGAGTAGTTTTTTTTTTTGTTTTTTTTTTTTAATCTCAAGGATGAAGGAATAAGGACGGGAAAGTAATTTACTTGAAGACAAATAGCTTGTAGGTTCTGGAACTGAGAAACGAACCCAAGAAGCCTGGTTCCAGAGCTAGTGCTTGAAACTACTATACTATACTGTCTGCTCAAAGAAAGTTATTTTTAAAAAACTCAGCTGAGTGCCATCTCAAGTCATTGCAAACCTATCGACCTCCAGACCTTTGTACAGGAGGAGCAGATGGTCAGGGTCAGGGGCATAGAGGCCGATTTAATGCAACTGCAAGATGTTGCTGCTTTTAACATTTTTAGATTGAATATTTCTTTAAGGTAGCTTGCCAGGTAGAGGGAAGTTGATAGGGCCTTATGGGGGTTGATGGCTAAAAAGCCTAGCTATTCCTTAAACCTGCTACTGGTCCAGAGGAAGGAGAGGGCCAGGATTTGAGGGAGGAGCGGGCTGGAGGTCCAGACTCTTGTGTCTGAAGGTGGAAGGGGCTGGGACACGGACTCCTGGTTCTGAGTGAGGCGGGGGCTTAGCCTTCTACCAACAGAGGAGTAGTGGCTGCCTAAGTTTTGCAATATGATGGGTGGGGGTGAGGTGGATGTAGTTAGGAGAGACTCAGTGGTTGGAGAGGAGGGATCTGGAAGATGTTGGTGAGGAAGAAATTCTGACAGAAACAGGAAAGACAGGTAAGAGGGGTGAGTCCTGGGGCTGCATCTGATCCCTCTGTCAGCAGCTTCTGAGGTGTGACAGGCCAGAGAGCCTTTGATGGCAGGTGGCCTGGGGCGGGCCAGCCTCTGAGTCACAGGTGACTCCTTCTTCCTTCCTCCCTTCCATAGGCTCCTTCCCTGCCTCCTGGGGAGTGGGAGAGGGCAGGAGCCCACCTATGCAGTTTCCCAACACCTATCTTCCTCTGGCACCTGGAGGCTGCCAGAGGAAGCCTGGCAACGTAGGGAATCCAGGTATCCTGTCCACCTGTCATCCTTATCCCTTGCTGAAAGCCTCCTCCCTTCCTCTCTAATTATCACCTGTGAAATGCTTAGAAACACTTTCACATTCCTTTCCACCCTGATGAAGTAGGCATCACCTCTCTCTCTCTCTCTCACTCTTTGTGTCTCCCTCCCATTCTACAGATGAGAAAAACGGAGACCTGGGAAATGGAAATGTACCCCAGTGCAGGGTATGTTTCTAGTCTCCCTCCCTTAAGATCTCCTCACCTCAATCTTTGATCTTCAGAGCTTTTCCACTTTTATTTTTCAGGTTATAAAAGTGCACATCTGCAGAAATGCAGATGGAAGGAAAGAAGCATCCCATGACCACCACCAGGTACAGTTTGATCACGTCCTTTCAGATTTTATTCTGTGAATATTTAATTTGACATGGCTAGGCTCACATACACATTGGTTTTCGTATCTTTCTTTTTTCACTTAACATTATACAGCACACCCATTTTTGCATAACACTAAGAATTCTGCATAAGTATTATTTTTGATGGTTTCATAATATTCTCTCAAACGGGCCTGTTGTTTACTTCAACAATCTGCTCATTTGGAACCTATTCAGTATTTTTGTTATTTTCTTATGATAAATAATATTGTGGTGAATTTAAAGTTGCTCCACATTTTGGGCACTTTTTGTAGTGTCATTCCGAAACTAGGATTTGTGCTAAAGATGCGAAAGTGTTGAATAAAGGTCTTGATCACTTTGCCAAACAGCGTTCCATAATGATTGTATGAATTTACAGTTCCAGTGTTTGAGAGTGCTGGTCTCACCGCAATTTCACCAGCACTGAGGTTTTTGTGTTTCTGTAATTATTTTGGTTTTAAATCCTTGCTATTTGATTGGTTTCAACCATGGCATATTGTTGAAGCTTTACTACATCTTTGAGAAAAGGTAAGGTCAAATATGTTTTTATAGGTTATTGACGTCCTTATTTTCTGTTCATATCACATCGTCATTCAACTTTTATCTATTGCTTCTCATGGTGTTCTTTATCCAAGGAACGAACTTGCAGACTTGGGTGTAGACACCTGGGATGTTTGGCTGGCCGCAAGGGAACGCTCCCCAGGACACTAGGCCTTGCAGGGTTCCTTTGCACATCAGTGGTCCCCCTGAGTCACCCTAGAGAGAAAAGAGAATGAGAGCTTAACTCTGGCTTCAGAGCAAATCCCTATTTCCACTTCAGTTTCATTATACACCCCCAGTTATCGGTCTTTGTCAAGCTACACCTTGCATGGCAAGCCTGGCCAATGGGAAGAGACTCATTGTCTATGGTGGCCAATGGGAGGGCAGGAATCAGTGTTGTCATGGAGATGATAAACCAGGTTCTTTCAGACATTGCCTTGAGCCATGGCCAATGGAATCAATTGCAGGACAAGTGGTGGGGCTTTCAGAAATGACAGCACAATTTATTTTCCAATGTTAAGGACTCCACTCCACTCATGCACTTTGGGCATGAAAAGCAGACAGGGTGGTCCTGGAAACCAGGGACAGGGCGAGCTACACGATTTTCAAGGCCTGGTGCAAGAGGAAAATGTGTCGTCCTTATCCAAAAATTATTAAGAATTTTAAGATGGCAACAGCATAGCATTAAACCAAGCTCAACATTCTTCTCAGCACGGGGCCCTATGTGACTACACAGCTTGCACGTTCGTGAGGACAGCCCTGATTAAGGAAGATGGGGAATCCCCCCATTCTCTAGGACACACACTCCTATATCATCACCTCCATCCCCAACACACACCACCACAGCTCCCCTGAAAGCCGACGGTGCAAAAATGAGAAAAGAAAGTAGAGTTATGGACAGAGAGACATAGAGAGAGAAAGAGTCAAAGAGAAGGGAAAGAGGGAAGTAGAAGAAATGGGAAGGGGAAAGAGGTTTGTTGTTGTTTTTAGTTGCTGTCAGTCGATTCTTATTTATGGCGACCCCATGTGTGCAGAATAGAACTGCTCCATAGAGTTTTCAAGGCTGCAAACTTTTGGAAGGAGATCACCAGGCATTACTTCCAATGCACCTCTGGGTGGGTTTGAACCACCAACCTTTCAGTTAGTAGTCAAGCACCTAACCAATTGCACCACCCAGGGACTCCTTAGGAGGAGGATTGCTGTTGTTGTGTGCTGTTGAGTCAATTCTGACTCATAGCAACCTTATATGACAGAGGAGAAAAGCCCCACAGGGTTTCCTAGGCTATAGCAGTTCGAACCCACCAGAGCCTCTGTGGGAGAAAAGACTTGGTGATCTGCTCCTGTAAAGATTTACAGGAGGGGGGTAGAGAAGCAGAAATATAGAGGAAGGAAGAATCAGAGGTAAAGGAAAGTGGAGACATGGGGTGAAAAGATCATGACAGAGACACAGTGCAGACAGAAAGCAGAGAGGAAAAGAATGAAATCAAATTAGGCATAAAGAGAGATGTAGAAAAGCTTTCAGAGACAAAAAGGGGGATACAAAAGATAAGGAAGGGGGACACGGGGGAGGGGGGAGGCGAGGGGAGACAGTTTTTTCCCCAGAACCAGGATTAGGGGGAGGTGAGTGAAGCACTAGCCTCAGACATAAAATTTAAAGGGGGCGCCAAAAAGTTCCATAATCACAATAAATAATATTTTATTGCGATATTTTTTAAAAATCAAATATTAATGCAAAAAAAATCTATGATGAACAAAATACCCAAATTTTAAATAAAGACAGGATCGGTACAACACTGTGCTGAGCTGTATCGGAGCCTGAGGCAAAAAGAAAATTCAGAGGACTGACCCACTCTTTAAAACTGTGATATTTTGATCGTGGAGTTTTTTGCATTCATTTTTTTAAAAAGATTGCGTTAGAATATGATTTACTTCAATGACTGAGTTGCTTGCTGCCTGAGGTGAGTGCCTCACTCGTCTGACCCTAGGCTGAGGCAGAAGCCAGGGATTCAGAGAGAGAGGGACAGAGCCCCTTATCTTTTCTACTGCCACCTTCCACCCATTAAACTTTCTGCCCCACCCTCAGGGCCACATCAGCCCCTAAATGGGCTCCCACTCCTGATCAAGGCAGAAAATGAGGGAGAGAATGCTAAGAAAGCTGGGTCTGCAGGGGAAGGCTCAGTACCAGGGTGGGGTCCAGAGTCTAAGACAGGGGCTTGGATGGAGGGGGAAATGGGACTGTGCATTGAAAGAAAGAGACAGGGGACCAAGGACTGGGGAGGAAGGGAGTCTCACATTGCAGGCATTCTTCCTGGAATCCGGGATGCCAGCACACAGCATCGACTTGCCCAGCAGGTCTTTGTAAACCTTACTGCAGTTGGTTTTGGAGATGAGCATGATATCTGCACACATGAGCGTCGACAGAAATTTCACTGCAGGGGGACGGAGAGAGAGGTCAGTTAGAGGCCTGGGCGTGGGAACAGGGCTGGACTGGAGCTTGGACTCCTGGGTTTGAGGGAGGAAGGGGATGGGGCCCCAGATTTCTGGGTCTGAGGGAGGAGGGGGCTGGGGTCCTGGACTCCTGGCTCTGAGGGAGAAAGGGTCTGGGGCCTGGACTCCTGGGTCTGAGGCAGGAGGGTGCCGGGTCCCTGACTCTTGGGTCAGTGAGGCAGTCTTACCATTAGGGCTGCTGATGGTGCCCCAGCCAGAGACAGTACATTGGGTTCCAGGGGGCTCGCATTGGGAGGGCAGACTGACAGCCTTTATACTAGATGACAGCTTGACCGGGGAGCTTAGCTTCACCAGCATGATGTCATTGGCATGGGTCCGTGTGGAGTAGCCAGGGTGACGAATTGACTTTGTGGCCCTGATCTTCTTGGCCCTTCTGTCGTTCAGCACTTGACTGCCTATGTGCACATTATACTCACTGGGAGAGACATTTAAAACAACATTTAGAGAGAGATACTATGACTGAGAGAGAGGGACAGAGACCCAAAGAGGGGGACAGAGACCCAGAGAAGGACAGAGACCCAGAGAGAGGAGGACAGAGACCCAGAGAGGGACAGAGACCCAGAGGGAGGGGGACAGAGACCCAGAGAGAGGACAGAGACCCAGAGAGGGACAGAGACACAGAGGGAGGGGGACAGAGACCCAGAGAAGGACAGAGACCCAGAGAGAGGAGGACAGAGACCCAGAGAGGGACAGAGACCCAGAGGGAGGGGGACAGAGACACAGAGAAAGGGGGATAGAGGCCCGAAGGGGGGGGGACAGAGACCCAGAGAGAGGGGAACAGAAGCCCAGAGAGAGAGGGGAACAGAGAACCAGGGAGAGAGGGACAGAAACCCAGAGAAATAGGAGGAGTCCATGATAGCACTCCCCTTTCACCAACAAGCTGTCCAGGCAGCACGTACTTCATCCTGCAGTGGGCAGCGGTGAGCACCCACCGCTGGTTGAGCAGCACGCCTCCACAGTGTAGTTGATTGCCCCTGAGCAGGGCTACCTGAGACGGTTGGGAGTGGTTTGGACATGGGTAGCCCTCAATAATCTTCTCCCCGTCCCTGTTAGCCTGGGCTGGATAAGAGACATGAAGAAAAACATGGGTAGTAATTGTCAAGGGAAGGCTGAGGTGGGAGCCTGGGAATTCAGAGTGCCAGAGATGGAGAGAGACAGACAGACCGACACACAGAGAAATGCAGAGACAGACATGGAGACGGGCAAAAACATAGAACAGTGCAGAGAAAGAGGAATTCAAATGCCCTCTGAAGATGAGAAACCAAGGGCAGAGGAGGCAGGCAGAGAGCATGAGAGGTGGAGATGGGGAGAGACAGAGGGTGCACACCTCTCTGGAGACCACCACAAAAGCTGATAGGAGAGACACTGAGTGCTGGAGACAGAACCTGGAGGAGACAGAAACCTAGGAAGGCAGAAGGAAGCAGGAGGAAAGGGGTCATGAGGCAAGGGAGGCTTGTCTACTATGGGAGGAAGCTGTTGAAGGAGGGTGAGGTTCTGGCTCAGGGACTGCTTGGAGAGAGGGGGCCCTGGAAAGGGTCAGTGGGGACACAGGGGGACCCAGGGGTCTGGTCAGTCCTCCCAGTCCAGCCCTCACCTTCTTGTTCAACAGTTCCCAGGGCCGAGGACAGCAGTAGGATCAGCAGGGGTGGGAGCAGCGATCTTGCCATGGTGGTCTCTCTGAGCCTCTCAGGGGCTTCCAGAACACAGGGAGGGGCTCTTCTGCTGGGCCTAGGAAGGGCAAAGCGTTCAGGAAGTAGAAGCTGGATCTCTTCCTCCCTCAGACCTGGGAGTCCCTCCTCCCTCAGATCCAGGAGTGTGGGTCTCCAGCCCCCTCCCCCCTCAAACCTCAGAGTCTAGGCTCTAGCTCCTCCTCCCTCAGTTCTGAGAATCCAGGTCCCAGACCCCTCCTCCCTCAGATCCAGAAGTGCAGGCCCCCAGCCCCCTCTTCCTCTCTCAGATCCAGGAGTCCAGGTCCCCAGCCCCTCCCCTCTCAGGACCCAGGAGTCCAAATCTCCTCCCCTACCAGACCTAAGAGTCCAAACTTCCAGACTTCTCTCTAAGACTCAGGAGTCCAAACCCCCTCCTCTCCCAGGACACAGTTGTCCAGTTCCTCAGACCCCTTTTCCCCTAGGGACTCAGGGACAACTGTGACCTGGGCCCCTAAACACCTCCTCCCCCTGGACCCAAAAGTCCTTTTCCCCAAGGAACCCCAAATTCCAGACTCCCAGCCCCTCATCTCTCAGGACCAAGAGTTCAGACCCCTCAGCCCCCGGCCCCGCCTCCCCCCTTAGAACAGGAATTAAGTGTCCAGCAGTGCTCTTCCACGCAGCCCTGTCAGGAGCACTTCTCACCTCAGAAGGGTCAGAATGGGACTCCAGACTGGATCGGGAGCCAAGCGTCTCCAGCTCACTGCACCGCGGCACTCATATCACCTCCGCTCCTGTGCCCGCCCCCAGCGCCCTGGGGTGCAGGCGGAGCCAGCTCTGGGACTCCCCCTTTCCGCGTTTGTGGTTATCCGGAACCCCTAAGGCAGCCAAAGCAATGGGTCCTACTCTACTCTCTGGGCACCCTACCTCCTGAGACGCGGGCTGGGAGGAACCCTGCTGATCTATGCCCCCACATATTCTGGTCCCACTGTCCTTCGTGGCTGCTCTCGGGGGAGGGACCGGATGCGCTGGCTGTGAGGGCAGAATTTAAGGAGGGGCAATCTCAGGGAGTGGACTCTGCCTGGGTCCTTCTCCAAGGCCTTTTTCTTGCCTTCACCCCTATTTGGGGATGGCTCAGGCTCCCCACCCCCTTTCTAATTCTGACCAGCTGTGGAAACTTGTTCAGGCTGGATCCCTGTCTGCCTCTGAACCTGAACCCAATTCCCAGTCCTAACATGTTGTTGTTGTTAGATGCCCTCCAGTCGATTTAGACTCATAGCAACCCCATATGACAGATTAGGGCCGCCCCATAGGGTTTTCTTGGCTGTAATCTTTATGGGAGGAGATCACCAGGTCTTTCTCCTGTGGAGCCACTGGGTGGGCTTGAGCCACCAACCTTTTTGTTAGCAGCCGAGTGCTTAACCACTGCACCACCAGGGTTTGGAATCCTAACATAGAGGTATAAATTTAAAAGAGAAGGCTTTCCCTAACTCCACCCCCACTCAATGCTTAATGTTATCAGTTTAGTCTGTGTTCTCATATTTGTTTTTAATCACATTATACATAGGCTCTTATATATTAAAAAAGCCAGTTGCTGTCAAGTCGATATCCTTGTGGCAATCCCATGTGTGTCAGAGTAGAACTACGCTCCATAGGGTTTTCAATGGCTGATTTTTCAGAAGTAGATTACTAGGCCTTTCTTCAGACGAACGTTTGGGTGAATTCGAACCTCCAGCCTTTTGGTTATCAGCCAAGCATGTTAACCACATGCACCACCCAGAGACCTCATATGTATTACGTATTTATAATGAAAATGTTTGTCATAAATTAACAGTTGGTTAATTCACCAGCTCAGCAACCTGATCAAAGACCCAGGTTATCCGCATCTCTCAGTTTGACCATCTGCCATGCTTTGGCTTGATCTGCAGGCCATTTCCTTCCATGATCCCTAGGAACCAAAGACAAAGGCCAAATCTAGTTCTTTGTCTCACAATCCCTCACTCCTCATTGGCCTGAACTGCATCACATGTCAGTTTCTTTATTAATCACTGGGAAGGAGAATATGGCTTCCATGCTTGGTATAATGAGACTTATAGTCATGATGAAGATAAAAGATTATTCAAACAAAATCAGGGTTCTGATAGGAAGGCAGAAGGGGTGAATGTCTTGGTGGGCAAGAATAATGTCTACTATGGGTCAAACAGGAGCCCTAGTGGCACAAGAGTTAAGCACTCAAGTGCTCAGCTGCTAACTGAAAGTTTGGTGGTTCCAACCCACTCAGCAGCTCCCAGGGAGAAAGACCTAGTGATCTGCTCCTATAAAGATTACAGCCTAGAAAACTCTATGGGGCAGTACTACTCCATCATGTGGGGTCTTCATGAGTCGGAATTGACTAGATGGCACACAATACAACAATGGGTCAAACTATGGGTTAAAGTTAGAATTGGGTTATGGATCAGGATTGAGATAAGGTTTGGACTCAGGTCTGAGAAATCACATTTTGGGGTCTGATTTATAAGTTGAGGTCAATTCCACTTTTAGGGATTTGTCTTTAAGTAGTAATCAGACAATGGTTCCCATCTTACTCAAAGTAAAAGCCAAAGTCCTGCACTGGTCCTCAATGTTCTATGTCATCTGAAGCCTCTTCTATCTCTGACCTCATTGCCTGCCCTTCTCCCTATTGCTCACTCAGCTCCAGTTACAGTGGTTTCCTTGCTAGAACATTGTAGCCACACTACTTGTCTACCTCACTTGCCTGTTTGCTCTGCTTGGAGCACTCTATCCCCAGGTAGCCACATGGCTCTCTCCGTCACCTCCTTCAAAATTTTGCTCAAATGTCACCTTCTCATGGAGTCTGTCTTTTCTAATATTATAACTCCAGGAGTCCCTGAGGATGGGGGATATCAATAACTCCCTACTCCTCTTTACTGCTTTATTTTTCTCCATAGCACTTACCATCATCTAACAAACTATATTTTTAATGTACTTATTATTGTATGGGACTATCTCCACCCACTTGAACAAAAGCCTCTATGAAGGCAGGAAATTTTGTCTATTTTGTTCACAGATGTGTGGAAGAAAAACAAAGAATTCCCAAAGAAGCTTAAAATTACAACTATAATGTGCGCTCTAAAGGAAAGGTGCAGGGTATTATGAAAGCATTTCACAAAGGAATTTGACCCAGGAAGTGACTTTAAACTGAGAGTTGAAGGAAAAGTAAGCATTAACTAGAAGAAAATGGGAGAGCATAGTGAGTGTAACGTGTAGAGGAAAAAGCATGTTCAAAGGCCCAGAAGGACATATGGATGGAGTTCAGAAACCAGAGGTTGTCTGGGACCAGATAATGAAGAGCGTTGTGTGTCATAGTGAGCTTGACTTTATCCTGTGAACAATGGTGAGCCACTTGGACTTCAGTTAAGGGGGTGACATAATAAGATTTGTATTTTCAAAATATCAGTCTGGCTATTCTATGAACAATAGGTTTTAAGGAGCTATGGAGACATGGGGAGACCATGAGGAGGCCATTGCTATTGTCCAGGTGAGAGATGATGGTGACTTAGATAAGGGTAGTTGGGAGGTGGAGATGGTGATAAGTGGATGGATTCAAGACTCATTTAGGGAGCAGAATCAGCAGGTCTTGGTGATGGATTGAATGGAAAGCACAGTGAGGGAGAGCGAGATGTTAAGACATCAAGGTCTCTTTCTGGATGAATGGTTGTGCCATTCATTGAGAAAGCACGATCGGGTATGGTCAATTGCTTCTGAGAGGTGAGAAAGACCCCCAGGTCCTTGAGCATAACTTCTAACTCCAAACTTTACTTTGACATAACCAATTCTGACACAGTCTTGACCCCAAACCTCAACTCATACCCAGTCCTAAGCCCACACTCTGCTTCAAACTTGACCAACCCTAATTTATACCTTACCCTGGAACCTAAACCTTGCCTCCATTTCTCACCACAAACCTCAAGTCATCCTAAATCCTGCTTCAACCTTGACCAACTCCAATTTATACCTCAATCCTAAACCTAAAGTTTTACCCAGTCCCTAACTCCAAATATCAGCTCAGGCTAGTACCCTCACTTCAACCAACCTTAACCCTGACTCTTTATCCTAACCCTGAACCATAAGACAAATTCAGCCTTGGCCCAAACACTGAATGTCACCATAGCCTAAGTCCCAAGCACGACCCAATGCAGAACTCAGACTTTAGCCTTGAAACCCTGAATTCTTTTTTTTTTAATTAATAAAAATTTATTTTCCTGGATTTTTTTTATATTTGTCATATTTAATAGCTTTATTAATTTTATAGCTTGTAATTTGCTTTCATTTCTAATTTTGTACTCATAATTCTGTGTTCTTTATGTTAAAAAAAAAAACCCAAAACCAAACCGAATGCCATCGAGTCGATTCCAACTCATAGCGACCCTATAGGGCAGAATAGAACTGCCCCATAGGGTTTCCAAGACTATAAATCTTTATGGAAGCAGACTGCCACATCTTTCTCCCTCAGAGTGGCTAGTGGGTTCACATCACCAACCTTTTGGTTAACAGCAAAGTGCTTTGACCACTTCGCCACCAGGACTCCTTTTATCTTTTTTTCCCCCATACAAAAATTTATACATACATTGTTATGTGACTGTAATTGCTCTCCCCATACTGTGACAGCACACTCCTCCTTTCCACCCCTGATTCCCCATGTCCATTCAACCAGCTTCTAACCCTCTCTGCCTTCCCACCTCACCTCTGGACAGAAGCTGCCCATTTTGTCTCTTGACCCTACTGGAGCTAAGAGGCACACTCCTCATGAGTATCACTTTATGTCCCCCAGTCCAGCCCAATCCCTGTCTGAAAATTTGGCCTCGAAAATTGTTTTAGTTCTGGGCTGATAAAGAATCCAGGGGCCGTGCTTTCTGGGGTACCTCCAGTCTCAGTCAGACCATTAAGTCTGATCTTCTTACTAGAATTTGAGTTCTGCAGCTCACCTTTCTCCTGCTCCATGCAGGACTCTCTGTTGTGTT